CGCCTGCGCTGTACGGCCCGCCGGCCGCGCCTTTGCGTTTTCCTCGGACGCGCGCCTGTTAGTTGAACGCCCAGAGCCGTAAAGGCTCGGCCCTGAACGCGAGAGTGCAACACTTGGGCTGTGGGGAAGTCGAGGCATTGTGAATTCTGAGGCAGAATTGTTGGTCGCTGTGGAGGACCTTCGATGTTTACACTGACCAACGACTGGTCTGGGCCTTAGAATGCAGGGGAACCACCTGGCCAAGAGATGGGCTCTGGTAAATGTTTTTTGGAAGTGTAAAAGTGAGTTAATTCTTGAGAATCCTACAGCACAGAATGAGCTTTAGTAATCGGACTGGCCAGGAACATCCTCATAGCATAAGGCGCTGACTGTGTGCTGATCTCGCTGTCAACGTGTTCTCATTTAAAACAACTATCCAATGAAGTAGATACGTCTACTTTTCCAGAGGAAAATTGTGGGCAGAAATGCTGAGCGACTGGCAGGAAGAAAGGAGAGAATACATCCTTTGTCTGGGTGTCCTTACTTTTTTCAGCAGGAGGCAGAAGTTTCTAGTCTACTGGTCTTTTTCCAAAGCTGACCTGTTTTATTTTTAATGGCATTCATTTATATGCACTCACAGGCCAGGGTCTTGACTGATACAGGGCTTAAAAAGATGAAGGAAGCAAACACAGCCTTGTTTTAAGGAGTTACATTCTAATAGGAGAGAAAAAAATTAATCTGATTATTCACCATAAATGAGTTAAGTGCTTTGAAGACAAAAATCATAGGTGTTATTTGGTAATTGTATTTCAGGTTGGTGCTTAAATCTTTAATTATATTAATCTTTACCCAAATGTATTGCAGATGGGTGCTTAAACCAGTTTTTACAAAAATTATTCTAGGTTTCTGTAGTTCAATGATTTATTTCACAAACGAGAAGCTGAATTAAATAGAAAAAATTCTGTGCATGTATTTCTTACATTCTATTTTCCAGCTTCCAGTTCTCTTAAGAATATTTCCATGATTCCCATTTAATATATTTGGTCTCTTTGGCACGTTAGCTTTTGTTTTGCAAAGTATAATATTCTGGAGCAGTTATGACATATAAAAGCATAAGATTTAAGGTTGACTCCTTTTCTGCCAGATATAATTTGACCATTTCTTCTCCGAAATCTAATTTTTCTTACCTGGCTAATTAGAATAATGAGAAGTGAAAACAAACTTCCTCTTCAAATGTTATGGTCATTGTATGCACAGAATGTATTAGGCTTACAAATTTAAAAGTTTTTTTTTTTGGTATCATGTATTGAACTCCAGTCTTTGCACCTGCAAGGCACACGGCAGAACCACTGAGCTAAATCCCTGGCCCTGAAAGTATTTTTAAACTAGTTATTTGAAATGATTTCTTAAATTAAGATTTTCATATATAATTATCTAAACTGAAAAGAACTTTAATTTGACTATTCCTTTTGGGTTGGTTGATGTAAGTCTTTTACCATAACAGGTTACACGTTATAAATGTGCTGGAAGACTGTTGTCCTGGGTTATGTAGATCTAATTCAGTGGATTAAAATTTGACATAAAGCTGGGCTTGGTGTCACCCACCTTAATCCCAGCATTCTGGGAGGCTGACACAGGAGGATCATCACAAGTTTGAGGTCAGTTTGTGCTATATAGTGAGTTCAAGGCCAGCCTGGACTACATAGTGAGACCTTGTCTCAAAGAAGAAGAAAAAGAAGGCAGAAGATAGAATATAATTTGACATGAATAACTTTATTCTTGGTACCGTATTTGAGGGACCATAGTCCTTTACAAAGAGGACTCTTCACTTCAATCAAATAGGGCTAACTTGTGCTAATCACCACAAAGGGGACAAAGAAAAAACAAGCAAAAATGTAAAGGATGTATATATTGAAAAGTATGCATTGTTTGCCACACTGTCTTACATTTAAATTGATAACCACCAAACATTAACTGCTTAAGGTACAGAGGCGTTTAATCTTTATCCTTGTGAACACCCCTAAAGATCTCCCTTTATCTTAAACTTTGTCAGTGATAAACTCTCAAAATTAGTATGTCATTAGAATACTATATACCACTTTGCAGATGGAAGGAAACTGATTATCTCCTGGATTGAGGTAGATCATGGAAAGTAGTTTATAGGACTTATTTGGAAATAATAATCTTATTTTTCAACAATCTCTCTTGAGATGTGTACTCACAGGAAAAAAAAATGTGGACTTCAAAAGGATAAGGATAACAAGTAATCTTTGCTTCCCACTGATATGGCAACATTGTTTTTTACTGGACTAGGCCCTTATATTAGACTGGTTAGAATAAGTGAAGCAAATAGGATACATGTCCTGTTTTGCCTTCCCCTTAGTTGAAAGGCAGCCACCTATACCTAAGTGGTGAATTACTAACTTGCAGATGTCTCTCTTCCACGATCACATTCCCTTATGGTTCTCTAGGTTCACTGTATGGAATTCAGAAAGCCAAATAAAATGAGCCTGCTTATACAATGTACATTTCATAGTTGTCTCTCAGGCCTTTGATGATTCCGGCCCCCCACCAAGGATGGAGTATAGGTGGTGCTGCTTCTTTATTCATCTTGAAAGTGAAAGGAAATTCCTGTATATTGAATGTCTTGAGGTAGAATGTATCCTAAAAGAGCATCTAAATCAAATATATTTTCTGTGGCAACATTGAAGCCCAAAAAAGTTAATTATTCTGCCTAGGGTCTTCTATCTGTTCAGTGGCAAATCATAAACTAGAACCCAGACCTCCCGAGTACAGTACTTGCCCATTTTACCACTTACAAGATTATGGCTTCAGGCACCAAATGGTATAATGAATCACACTGTCTAAACATTGTCAGTTAAGTAATAAATGTTTATATTTTCAAGAAAGTAAATACTGAAGGAGTTAGGCTTAGCACATGTGGACTTCCATGATTATGTATCTTTCTACATTTTGCCTTTAAATGTTTTTCTTTTCAAAGATTTTCAGTTTGGACCTTGGAGGCATATCAGCAGTGGTCCTAAATGGCTATGATATAGTAAAGGAATGCCTTGTTCATCAAAGTGAAATTTTTGCAGACAGACCATGCCTTCCTTTATTCATGAAGATGACAAAAATGGGAGGTATGTTTGTTCTCAGCTACTTGTCCACTCAATTATTTTAAATTTCATCCTTTAAGTGATTTTAGTACATATAGTTGGGATTCTTTTGTACTGGTTAACAAGAAAGTATTGATATACAGTACCTACTTGTGGAACTTGAGCTCTTTGGATGAATTACTCTAATATTTTAGACCACTGCATGCTAATTTTATTGTAATTCAGTTTTAATAAATCTTATAAAGTATATTTGTAAAGAATTAACACAAGATCTGCAAGTTTTATTAAACAAGTCAGGAGTACACACACACACACACACACACAAAAGTGTCCTTTCAATGCCAGTCTTGAATACATTTGTGACATTTTTAGTATTGTTTTGTTTCTAAGCTTATAGAACTGGAAGCAGCCTTAACTACTCATCATTCTATGTTAATGGAAAGTTGTGGAGCTTTGTAAGAGACTATGTAAGAGACTGGCATTCTGCATGATTTAGTGATATGCAACAGAAGAAATGCTGAAAGTTGACAACATGGTAAAGCAGCAAATGAAAGCCTAAAATACCCATGTGGAAATCAAATACAAAGATTTTAATGCTATAAGAAATTTCTTCAATTTTTCTCTAACGAGAACTTCACAATTAACATTGAAGAAAAAAATAACAATATCTTGCTTAGAAAAACTAAATGAAACTGGTTGAAAGGGAAAGATAATCCTCTGTTAAATCACAAAACAAATAACAAATGCAAAGAAAGTCGAAATTTTAAAAACCAAATTCTCAGGCCAAAATGATAGTTGAAAATGAAAAATGAATAAAAAGCAAGTCTCCAGCTTCTTAAATCTTACAAGGAACAACCATTAGTCCAAAGAAGAAAAAAATTGTAATTGGAAACTGTCTTTGTAGCTTTTCTTGTTGCTGAGACAAAATACCCAACACCCACAAGTTAAAGGAGACAAGGTTTATTTCAGCTCACGGTTTGTAGAGGTTTCAGTCCATAGTTGGCTGGTTCCAAGGCAGGATGGCATGACACAGGGACAAAGGAGAAACAGTCCACAGCAAGACAGGCAGAAATGCAGCCAGCAGCAGTAGAAGCAGCCTCCCTTTCCCTTTTATCCCGTTAGATTATAAGCATCTAGGGTGGGCCTTCCTATTATCCACACCCAGAATTATGCTAATTCCAATCAGTGGACTAATTTCGTACCATACACCCTAGCTATGAGTGCAAGAGGCTTTGGAAGGACATCTAGATACAAGCCATAACAGAACCTTTAAAGAAATGATAAAAAAAAAATGATGTGATCAAATATTGGAGACAAAGTATATATTTATAGTTTAGACTATTTTAACATAAGGAATGATAAAATTCACATTAAACAGTATTTAGCAAAAAGTGAAAGGAAACTAAGTCAAAAATTATTTACGTTGTATGCGTCAATGAACTAAAAAATCATGCCTGCCATTAGTCCACTGTGTAAATAGGAAAAAGTTGCTCTTTGGGTGGACTTAGCCCCAGTATGGGGTTATTGTGAACAGTGTATCTTTTTCTTTTATTTGTGTCAGGGATTGAACTCGGGTCCTTGTGCTTGCTAAGCAGGCAGCAGAACTACTGAGATGAATCCCCAGCCCCCTGTGTATCTTGAATATGTGTGGCACACATTCCTCCAGAGCTGCTCTGATCTTGCTGCCTTGTGCCAGCTGTTTACCTGCAGTGATCTTAATCTGGATATTTGCTTGACTTCCTCATCTCATTTAATTCTTTACTCAAAAATCACTTTATACATGAGCGTTTCCCTGACTATCTTGTGTATCTTTGCTTATTATATAATTTATGTGTTGATTGTCTGTCTCTCCTGCTGGCAGTTGCAAGAGACTATGGATCTTTGCTTCTTTTGTTCACTGATAAAGCTGACATTTTAGAACACTGCCTGGAATATAGTAGGAGTTTCATAAAAACATGTTGAATAAATATTTGTTAATGAATAGTTATCTGGGGATATGGAAAGCAAAAATGGACTATGAGAATATAAAAATGCAGCACTAAAGACCCACTTACATGTGGCTAACTTTTTAACAAGCTCCAAATTTAACAATTGTTGCACAAATGTTTTTGGAGTGTAAACTTTCTATGTACATCACATATACAAGAGAACACAAATTTTCATCATAGATATACCTAAGTCCTCTGACAAGTGAAATTCCACATAAAGTACCTGTTATATAAATACATGCACTGAGGATACTAGGTTACTTCCTTGATAGTAAATTTAAAGGAGAATTTTTCCATAGTAACCACATCAGAATAACAGATACACTATGAAGATTCTGGAATTTTGCAGCAAGCAATATCAACATTTAAAAAGTTTGAGTTTCATGTTTCTCTTTTTTTTTTTTGGTTTTGATCTGTTCATTCTACTACATTGACAACTCATTCATGTTACCCGTTTCTGCCATCGTTACCTTGTTGGTTATATGCTTTCAATAGAAGGTAGTTTCTATTCTAAAATACAGTCTCCTTTACAAAAAAAAACTTCTAAATCCAGAGAAATTATTTTTCAGGTATTTGTTTAATTCAAGTTAAAATTTTGCCTATAAAACATACAATCATTTGTGTTTTATAAATTAGATTTACAAGTTAAATAATAAAGTTATCCAGGCCTAGTTCATCCACCTTGAATTATACATAAGACTGGCTAGTTCCTTGTGATAGGAGAACTATATCTTTTTTGAGTCCCAGATGATGAAAATATAAGCTTATCAGTTATAATACTGTATGACTGCTGAGTTGCTGAGAATAGGAACCAACCAAATAGTTATACAAAAGGATAATTTGGGGGGAAAATTACTGTCTGTTTAGAAAGATTTTTTTTTTTTTACACTATAGCATTTTCAGCTTCTTAATACTTTTTTCCAGGCTTACTTAATTCCAGATATGGCCAAGGATGGATTGATCACAGAAGATTAGCTGTGAACAGCTTTCGATATTTTGGATACGGCCAAAAGTCTTTTGAATCTAAGATCTTAGAAGAAACCAAATTTTTCATTGATGCTATTGAAACATACAAAGGTAGACCTTTTGACTTGAAACACTTAATAACTAATGCTGTTTCAAATATAACCAATCTGATCATTTTTGGAGAAAGATTTGCTTATGAAGACACTGATTTTCAGCACATGATTGAGTTATTTAGCAAAAATGTGGAACTAGCTACCAGTGCCTCAGTCTTCCTGTATAATGCCTTCCCATGGATTGGCCTCTTGCCTTTTGGAAAACATCAACAGCTGTTTAGAAATGCAGCTGTGGTCTATGATTTTCTCTCCCGACTTGTTGAAAACACTTCAATCAACAGAAAGCCTCAGTTGCCTCAGCATTTTATTGATGCTTACTTAGATGAGATGGATCAAAGTAAAGATGACCCATTATCTACTTTCTCCAAAGAAAACCTAATTTTCTCTGTGGGTGAGCTCATCATTGCTGGAACTGAAACTACAACCAATGTGCTACGCTGGGCAATTCTTTTCATGGCCCTTTATCCCAACATTCAAGGTGAGGATTCTTTTGATGGTCTCATGGCCTATCCTTAAATATAGGGCTCATATATGTTTTGGAGTCGTTAGCCATATATGAAGCATTTGTAAAGAACTCCCGCTGTGCTAGCCAAGAAGAAAAATATTTCATAGAGAGTTTTCAAATTTAGTATCTCACTACATGTTAAAAAAAATCTCTGCAATAGGTTTTATTACTCCTGATTTATAAATGAGTACAAAGGCTGAATGGAAGTGGCAGAGCTGAGACCTAGATCTGGTTTTTCTCCTTCAGTGCTTCACTATTTTCTCAGCTGAGAGTAATGTCACTTCAATTCTGAGTTTAACATGTTCACAGTGGGGCCATAATTTATACATCTCACTGTTGGGCAGCCTGAACTACCAGTGGTACTTGCATGATTGTCCCATTTGGTGGCTTTTTATTAATTTTATTAGTAAAGACCAATAACAGTGATTACATCCATTTATATCACCAGTGATACAAGCCACCTGTTGGACAGTCATGCAAGTACCACTGGTGGTTCAAGCCAGGAGAAATGTATTAATTTTTGTCCTTAATCTTTTTAATATGTTTTTCATGACCAAGTTACCCAAGGTGTTAAAATAAGATATGTAGCATATATTTAAATAAAACTCGCAGATAATGAAAAATGTAAATCTGAAAAAAAAAGGAAAAACCCAGGTACAGTCATATCTGTTGGTTTATTATATGCTGTCCTTTGTTTTAGCCCAAATAGTAATTATTATAGATACTATTCTAATTGTATAATAAATGCTTTTTCTCTGACAGGACAAGTTTGGAAAGAGATTGATTTAATTATTGGCCCCAATAGACAGCCTTCTTGGGATGACAAAAGCAAAATGCCATATACTGAAGCAGTTTTGCATGAAGTTTTAAGATTCTGTAATATAGTTCCACTAGGGATTTTCCATGCAACCTCTGAAGATGCAGCTGTACGTGGTTATTCTATTCCAAAAGGCACAACAGTAATTACAAATCTTTATTCTGTACACTTTGATGAAAAGTACTGGAGAGACCCAGAAGTGTTCTATCCTGAGCGATTTCTGGACAGCAGTGGATATTTTGTCAAACAGGAAGCTTTGGTTCCTTTTTCCTTAGGTAAGAGAACTTTCACAGGAGTATAACTTTAAAGTTTAACAATGAGTTGTCACGTGTAGCATATTAACCCGAAGCTGCCGCCTCTAAAATTAAATATTACAACTCTGCAAACATACTCATTTTTGTAGAAGAGAATCATTTGACTCAAAGTAATTAACACTTGATTCTACTCAAAATCAATCTTAACTTTTTAACTAGAGTTAAGCTGTTGAAATGTTCTGGCTTCTTCTGAAATTCTTGCTAGTAGATTTTTGGCTTTAATCAAACTTACACAGCTAGAAATCAGTAATAGATGACTTGTGAAGCTGAGACCTAGAAAGAGGAAAGAGAACAACTTGAAGTAAAACTAGGATCTAGCCCTCTCACCTTCAATTTATTGTGTTATCTCCAGCTAGGAAATACTGCTTCTGGTATGAAACAGGACACAGATCACTAACCCATGGAAAAGGAACTTTTATGAATCATTGAAAAAATACACATTTAGTCAGTTGAAATGAAATGGGTTTCTTTTGACAATACAATGAAATGTCATACCTCAAATTAAACCTGTCAGAACATATCTTAGGCCAGGGGTGGCGAACCTGTGGCACAGCCACAGCAGGCTGTTTGGATTATTGAAAGCTCTAAAAGGCTGGCCATCATTGTGTAGACTTCGTTGCAGTATGCAAGGGAAGTGGGAGTTGGAATTAAAGTCTTAGGAAAGTTTATGCTCTGACAAAAGGAAGCAAAATGGGGACTCTGGAAGCTGAAGGGCTAATTTCTATTGTTTGGGATTTAAGAGAATCCTTTAATTATGTAACTTTCTCTAACTTATTTTAAATTTCAGATTTCCCAAGTATCATCCAAATATTGGACGTAACTTTTGGTAAACATGGGTTTATAAAACTTACTGTATCTGCTTTTTTCTGTTTAGGGAGAAGACGTTGTCTTGGAGAACATCTGGCTCGGATGGAATTGTTCTTGTTTTTCACAGCATTACTTCAGCAGTTTCATTTGCATTTCCCACTTGAACTCGTTCCAAATCTGAAGCCCAGGTTAGGTATGACGTTGCAGCCCCAGCCTTACCTCATCTGTGCTAAAAGGCGCTGAAAGAGCACTGAAAGTGCACAGATGTTTTAAGGAGTAAGGGTGTATCTTTGTCTTATCCCAAATCTTATTTAATCTAATCAGTGAGATGTTTAGGGGAAAAAAGTCACGCTATCAAAAAACTAAACAGGTATGTCATTAAAAAAGAGTACTAGAGGGCCAGGGATTTAGCTCAATGGTTTGGTGGCCTGCCTTGCAAGCGCAAGGACCCGAGTTCAATCCCCGGTACCAAAAAATAAAAAAGAGTATGAGAGCAGTAACTAGTACTAGCTATGATTTTTTTTTCAAGCTTGTGTAAATTCTAAGGTACAACTCTTTATTGAGGAACGTGAAGGTACAAATGACAGATGTTGCATAACAGGCTAAGAAGGGCTATGGATGCCCTAAGCACAGCCACGTGCTAAGTATAAGGTTCCTCTCATTCCTTTTTGACTCTGACTACCCACTAAGGAAGCTTTGCTTCTAAATGCCAACTCCTTTTTGACCCATTAATCAAAATCATTAATAAACTATGGTACCAATCCAGTTTAATAGAGGACTAAAAGAAATTAGAATTCAAATAAATTCATTTGGACTAGATATTTTAGATATGGTGACTGATGATGGAAGAAATATATATTTAATAACGGGCCAGCCTTGCTTTCAAATATAGCTCTCTGCTATGTGTTCATGAGAACTGTATCATTATTTCTATAAATGAAGGTCTGTGTAATTCCTGAGCATCCATCCCAATAGCAGCTCAGTAGATACAAAATTATGGTAAGGTATTAGAACAAAAATGACAGCTGGCCAGGGATTTAACTCTGGTACCACCACCTGCCTCACAAGTACAAGGACCTGAGTTCCATCTCTGGTACCAAAAAGAAAAATTACAGAAGGCTATTGATTTTTTTTTGTGTGTGTGGGCATAGACAGCACCACTTTTTGTGGAATCAGTCACTGTATTTAAAGATCCAATCATCTTATTTAGTAGAGGTCTTTCCATGGGTTAATGTTTTTCCTAAAGATAAAATTCAAATCCAGAAACATGTTATTGAGACAGCATAATTGCATAAATTTGGATACTTGAGAGTGATGGAATGCTATTAAAATTTTTACCTGAACAAAAGGGGAAAATTGTGAATCCCCTGAAGAAACTGGAAAATGTATTGAGTATTCAGTCATTTACAGATATTTTTTACATCATCATTTTTTCTGAAGTTATACATAAAGGGTTAATGCTTGTAATTTGGTTTATGAGCAGCTATAGCCTCAGAATACCTGCACATATTAATGACTTGTATTAATAATATAGGTTTTACCTTAGGTCATCCCCATTTACTGAATACTGCTGAGTTTCTATGTTATAAAAGAGTCTTTGCATCTCTGGTGTATTAAGATTTCTTCATATATAAGAGAAAGAAACCTTTGCAGATTTTCTTGAATAATCAAAGGAAATTTGGAGGTAATGTGGACATTTTAGAGTCTGTTTTGACCAAAATAGTTTGGCATAATCAACGGCACGATCCCTTCCCATTCCTCAGTTTTACTGTCCAGATGATATATCAGCTTTATCATAAGTGAGAGTTCATGTGTTTTGCCCTGCTCCACGTATAGTGAGCAATCCCTCTTGGACTGTTTCTAAGACAGAAAGGGAGTTTTTTTATATACACTCAAAAAACTATTCTTTGTGTCCCAGAGGCCATATCTGAATCATACATCAACTTAAACCTGTGTTTTGTAAGTGGGATTATGACTCCTTTAGGTCTGAATATGTAACTAGTGATGGTGTTATACTTAATTGAGAGAGATTATAGAGAATTGCCACCATTCTGAGCCAAATTTGAGTCCTTTTATTGCCAGCATTCAAGAGTGGCTTGTGCTCCAGTGACAAAAAGCAGCTTCCAGGTTTCTTGTAAGCAGCTGTTCTAGTTTGGGAGGGCTCGGGAAGAAGGGGAGCACAAGTGGAATTTCACACGAGCAGAACTTTGCTAAGTTAGTTGGGGGTCAGGGAAAGTTTCATACCATTTAGTTGAAACAAAATATCACACATGTCATATACAAAATATCACACACATCGTATTCTGTTTACAAGGTTGTAAAGATAACATAGCTACAGACTGCTCTACCAAATGCAGCAGGATCAACCACGGGGACTCCCAGGAGGGGAGGCAGAGTGACCACCCAGAATCACTAGACTTTACATGAAATGGGGGAATGGTGATGAAGCACAAAATGGAGTCAGGTTGGCTACCACAATGGATTGACTTCCCCTCAAAGTACAGGTGCTATGTATGGGTGGTATAAAAAAAATTAGGATAATTATGAAGAGAATTAGAAGTCAAAATATTTATAATACCTACTTCACTTGCTTCTACATGCTTTCCTGACTATTGTGAGCCTTGACAAATGTACTCATAATATGCTCTTTAATATTTGTTCTTTCTTTAGCACAACAAATCTTTCATCCTTGGGCCGCCTCCTTAATATCTTATCTCATAGAACAGTAAGCATCAGCTGATCTCTTAAGTTCAGGAATTACAAAGTCTTGGCAGTCCCACTACCCAATGCAACTTTGTGAACTGAAGTAGACTATAATAAAAATTAAGGCCTTATTTTGCTATCTGTGCATAAGTTAAAAATCATAGGTAGTAGAAATTTAAGCATATGTTTTTGTTTGCTTAATTTCATTGGTACATTTTAAGTACACAATATAATGAAATTCATCATTGGATATTTGTACCTTTACAAAATGTCTTGATTCTTATTTTTCCCCCTTCCCCTGCCCTCCCTTCAATCCCTCTACCCCTCCCTATTTACAAAGACTTTGTTGCCAGATTTTCATATTAACTCATTTTGTCAAACACTTTTTCTGCATCTATTGAGATGATCATATGTTTTTTTTGTCCTTGGCTCTGTTAATATCGTGTATTACATGTATTGATTTGCATATGTCGAACCATCCCTGCATCTCTGGGATGAATCCCACTTGGTCAGGGTGTTTGATCCTCTTGATGATCTTCTGCATTCTTTTTGCTAGTATCTTATTAAGGATTTTTGCATCTCTGTTCATTAGTGAGATTGGCCTATAGTTCTCTTTTTTGGTTGGATCTTTCTCTGTTTTGGGATCAAGATGATGCTTGCTTCCAGGAATGAATTTGAGAGTATTGCTTCCCTTTCAATTTCATTGAAGAGTTTAAACAGTAGTGACAATAATTCATTTGTCTAGTGGGCCTATCTATTTGTGACAGTGGGATATTGAGGTCCCCCACTACTATTATAGTAGTGCTTATTTGATTTTTCATGTCTGTTAGTATTTTATATAGTTGTGCACACTAGTGTTTGGTGCATATATATTTATGATTGTCATCTCTTCCTCTTGGATTTTTTCCCTTTACAAGGATGTAGCATCCTTCTTTGTCCCTCTTAATCAGTATTGGTTTGCAATCCAATTGATTTGCAAAGAGGATAACTACTTCAGCTTTTTGGGGGGATTCCTGTCACATGGAATATTGTTTTCCACCCTTTAACTTTCAGTCTGTTTCTTTTTGAATTGTGTTTCTTACATGCAGCATATTGGATCTTGCTTCTTGACCCATTCTGCCAGTCTATTTCTTCATTGGTGAATTGAGATCATTAACATTGATGGTTATAACTAATGTCTATTGACTTATGCTTGTCATGACTTTTTATTTTTGTTGGATTCTCTCCTGCTTTGGATTTAATTTCTTGTGTTGCCTGATGGATTCATTCTACTGGGATTGCTGGGGTTGTGATCCTCATTGTCTTTTCCTAGGGTATTGTTTAAAAATTTTTGGAGTGCTGGTTTGGTATTCATGAAGTTCCTTAGGTGCTCTTTGTCATGGAAGTATCATATTTCTCCATCAATTTGAAAGATAGTTTTGCAAGGTACATGGATCTGGGTTGGAGGTTGTATTCCTTTAGGACCTGAAATATGTCACTCCAAGCTCTTCTTGCCTTGAGGATTTATATTGAGAAGTCTGCTGTGATTCTGATGGGCTTTCCTTTGTATGTGATTTGTATCTTTTCTGGAACTGCTTGTAGGATTTTGTTCTTTTTTGGGTTTCTGGAATCTTAATTATATGCCTAGGTGTAGATTTTTTTTTTTAAATCAGGGCTAATTGAAGTCCTATATGCCTCATTTATCAGTATGTCAAGTTCTTTTCCGCTGCTTGGGAAGTTTTCTGCCATTACTTCCATGAATTTTTTTAATGTCATTTTCATTCTCTCCTGTTTCTTCATTGACTGATCAGCCCTTCTTTACACAATCTATTAGCTACTGGATTAATTTCTTGTGGTCCCTATTTTTAAGAAAGTTTTCTTTTCCTGGTCACTAATTGCAATCCTGTATTCTGTAACTGAAATTCTGTCCACACATTGGCTCATTCTGCTGCATAAACTTTCAATGGAGTTTTTAATCTCTTGGAAATCTGTATCTGTTTTATGGATTCCATTTATTTCCTATGTTGGGATTCCATCATGTTCCTCAACTCTTCTAATTTTTTCATCTGTGTCTGCTCTAGCTTTATTAATCATATCTTGCACTATAGGCACAGTCTTTGTTCTTTTCTGAGAAATTATGTCTGATTTCATTTTTTCCAGATCCCTTTCATTGCCAGTTTAGGGAGTCCAAGTATTTGAGTATCAGATTGTTCCATCTCTTTTCCCTTTGGAGTTGCCTTATGTGATCTAGAAGTGTGGTTTTGAGACTTATGTGTCTTCTCATTTCAACAGATGCAGCCTGCTGCGATTTTGTTGAGGCAACATTTTGCTCACCCAGTGGTCTTCAATTCTCAGCAAGCCACTAAGTGGCTTTTTCTCTGCTGCTCACCACTGCACCAATTCCTCGGTTCAGAGTGGTGGCTTTCTGGATCCCTGTGCTGTCCGGTTTGGGGTCTGTGCACACTTGGGATGGTATCTAGGTGTGCCTCTGGATAGCGCCTGCCCTCCTACATAGCTATTGTCTGAGTAGGCCTTTGGTTGGGAGCCAAACACCCCATTGCTAGTGTCTGGGCAGGCTTTTGGCTGTTTTGTGTGCACTTACTGGCGGTATAGTGGTAGGCCTCTGGCAGCTGCTTGTGTGCCTGTGCAGCTCTTTTCTCATCGGGTTTTTGGCTGAGGTTTGTGGGCCCAAGAAGCTCAGGTCGGGGCAGGGCCCTGGCTGGACCTGCCTGCAGCTACGTTGCTCTGGTGCACTCCCCTAGGATCTCTGCACAGCTACCACTGACTAGTCACCAATGGTATTGAGGCGGGCCTCTGGCTGTTGTTTGTGTGCCCATGCAGCTCTTTTCCCAGCAGAACTTTGGCTGGGGCTTGTGGGCACAAGCAGCTATGGTCAGGGCGGGGCCCTGGCTGAAAGTTCCTGCAGCCACACCACTCTGGTCCACACTAGCTTTTAAGTTGTGGATGTAGGGTATTTTGTCCTGGTGATGAGGAAATGACTAAGACAGAATATTTAGGAGAAAAAGAATAAGGATATTGCCTAAAATTTGGTCGTGAGAGAAAGAACTACACAAGCTAAATTTTTATTCATAGAAGCAGATACTGTAAAGAAACAGGGTCCAAATATAAATATGTTAAATATAAAGCAGACTGCTGAACCAAAAATGCAACTCTTCTTTAATATCAGAAGAACTTAAGTGAATTTTTTAGGAAAAACTGAATAAATTATACCAGATCTATGTCTCTTTTACATGTGTCAAAGAGAAAAATTATTTTGTATCATGAAAATTTTATGAATTTCAAATTTAGTGTCCAAAGAGTTATACTGCAATACAGAAATATTCATTTTTAATGCATTGTTTACAGCTGCTATTTGTGCTGTGACTGAATTGTGAAAGAGACCATACGTGGCATACTTATTCCTTCACACTGCTACTAGGCACACTACAGATCTGTGACACAGTTCTAACTTAAGAGCATTTCTAGTGCTGTGTTTATTTTCACAGCAGCATATTGTTGTATTTTAATTTTTATTACTGATACATACCCATCATGTCAGAATAAGAAATATGAACTTAAAAAACTCATACTTTTAAAACAGAATGGGACGTGCATTATTTTATTAACCAAATTAGGTGGCAAAGGATTGTTTAATATATAATACTATAATTGCTTGGAAAAAAAATTATGGTTTGGGACTATAAGAACAAGTGATTTTCACAGTATTCATAACACATGAAAGCTGTAGTCAGAAAAATTGAAATTTTAAAATGGAGCATCTCATGATACCACAATTTCTTCATAAAATATGAAAATGAAGATGCAGTGAAAATAATTTTGATTGGCTCATTTGCTAAGAAAAGCTAATTGTGAATTAAATTGTGTTTGTCTCAAAGTTCATTCATTTTCCTACAAGTGACTGAAGTTTATCCTTTATGGCAGAGTAGTACTACTTTGTGTTTATACCACATTTTCTTCATTCATCTATTGATGACATATAAGCCACTTTCAAGACTTAGCTATCATGAATTGTGCCGCTTTATACATGTGTATGTGTCACTGTAAGATGATGTCATTAACTTTCAGAAAGATACCTAGAAGGGGAATTAGCTGGGTCAAATGGAATTTCTAGGTTTAGTTTGAGGACTCTCCATGTGGATTTCCATAGTGTTTGCACCACATTCCCACCAAAAATGTTGAAGGTTTCTTTTCTTCATCTGCATTTGCTATTTTCTTGATGATAGTCATTCTTTCTGGAGAAAAGATGGAATCTTAGTGTTGTTTTAATTTGCATACCTCTAATGTCCAGAGATGTTGAACCTTTTTTCATGTATTAGCCATTTATAGTTCCACTTTTGAGAAGCATCTGATTTTCAATTGCCTATTTTTTGATTGTTCTTTTATTTAGAGACAGCTTCATATGATTGTGAGATCTGAAATCTGAAGAACAGCCCAATAGTCCAGCAGGCTGAAAATTCAGGCCAAGGTTGATGTTAAAGGTTTGAGTCTGAAAATGAAGAAACTCAGGAGGGTATTTCTATGTGAGTCTTGTAAAGGATTCCTTTCTAGGAAACCTCAGCTTTTTGCTTTTAAGGTCTTCAACTCATTGAATGAGGCCTACCCATGTTATCAAGGGTAATTTTCTTAAGTAAGCTTACATCTGTTAATCACACCCACAAAATACCTTCACAGTATTATCTAGACTGACTCTATCCTGGCACATAAAATTTAACCATCACAGTGATCTTTGCTTGTGGGATTACATTTAATTAATATTAACATGAATGTATCCAAAATTCCTAAAGTGGATTTATGTCCCTTAGATTTGCATTTTCTTTGGTTGGGAGCCAGAAAACACTACTAATTTAGGCTCACAGTGGTCCCCTCAAAGACTCTATCTTTTTTTTTTTTTTTTTTTTTTTTTATTGAGTTTATTGGTACATTTAGGGATACAGTACAGTTACATTCATTGTTGGGATCATGTACCTTTACATGGCAAGTCTTGATTCTCATTTTTTCCCCTTACCTCTGCCCTCCCTTCCCCCCCTCCTCCCCTCCCCATCTACAAACACTTTATTTTCATCTTTTCATTCTCTCACATTTTTTTCTTTTCCCTTTTTGTTCTTCCCC